AGGGCACTGGAAAATCCAGGGGAGGGGGTATTAAATTTAAGTGGAAATCCAGGGGAGGGGGGGTTTGAGGGCCCTGGAAAATCCAGGGGAGGGGGGAACTGAAAAGTTATGTCCTCAATAGGGGGGGTGCGGACTAAAAATGCAACTGCCCATTCTTACTAGACAGATACTCTGGGGGTAGAGGGTGGCGTACAAATTGTACTTTTGTTTAAACCCCTGACTTTCTACAATATCATAAACGACCATTCAATAAAGATAGCAATTTCTAAGCACGATAAATAATCAAGTTAAATAATCGACATAAATGTAGGTGTGTATACATAGCAGTAGAAATAATAAAGTATTGAATTATAATCATACTAAATCTAATCAAATCTGCAGTACATACAGTAGAGTATTATATCATACTATTTAATGCTTCTCGTTCATCACAGAACTGAATTTATCAACTACAAAACTAAAATTAATAATATTTTGCACGTGTATTCGTGTTAGTGCCGGCAAGTTTCACGGAAATTAATCTTATTCTAACTCAAAATACTTACTGTATGTCCGTCCCAAGACCTTGAATAAAAGCTCTTTTTGTACATCTACAGTCGGCATGATGTAAAGTCGTGGTTAGGATGGAAAAAAGGTCGGGTTTAATTGATTTTTTGTAAGATATTTTTGTATTTTTATCTGATTTTTTCTCCTCAGAACATTTCATCAGATTCGAACACCTGGACGGGTGAGACTGGGGAGTACTCTAGATTCCAGGCCTTAGCAAAACGCGGGGAATGCCTGTCACATATTGTTTTTATTTTTCTTTTCTTTTCTTTTTCGTTTTCTGATTCCAATTCCAATTTTTCTTCTTTTTAGCTTTTTACTCTTTTTTGCTTTATGTTTGTTTTCTGTTTGTTTTCTTTCTTGTGTTTTTTGTTGAGTATTCATTTTTCTTTTACAGCAATTTCTTTACTTTTTTTCTTTTTTCTCTCTTCTTCTTTCACCCTCCTTTAATTTCCTTCTCTTTCTCCATCCTCACAAAGAGAAAAGGTCCCATACCACTGCCTGTGGCACACCGCAGTTAATACCAAACTTCCGACATAACCTTCGTTGATAGAGATACGTCGCTTCGGCCAGACAGGTACTCCATGATCCATGATAGCACAGGTGTAGAGAGGTTGGATCATGGTTGGATCTGAGACGGTCTATTGATATCATGGTCAAAAGTATCAACCGCCGCAATCCCGTCTAGTAGCAATATAACGTGGCAGTGTTATATCGTTGAACACTTTCAGTAATAAAATCACTATGCTGTGGTCTTTGTTATATTTTGATTGGAATGTTGGGATTATTAACCTGACGTACTTATTAAAAAAGGTGTTTGCAAATGATTAATGCTCTTTCAGTAATCATTCAATCTTTCAGCTTGCACATAAAGGCGAGGTTGTTGAAAGAGCCGCGAAGATTGACAAAAGAAGTATGATGGCTGTAGTCGCCAGACAATCTTACCACTAAAAACTATAAGAAAGAAACAATCTGGATTATGATAAGATAAAGAAAATGAAAATGGAAGGTAAATAGTAGATGAGATTCGAATCAGAAACTCGAAAAAAATGGAAGGAAGAACGGAGGAAAGAAGGTGGAAGAAAAACTGAAGCCGAACAATTAAAAATGACCGGGAAAAAACAACAATGTCAGTGAGCTGTATTAAACATGTCGTCTGATATATGTATTTTTTGGTTCAATTTATCTTTCTATCTCTTGACGGCAATTTAACAAGCACATCTGTCTGCCGCTGGTCTTGCTTCAGTCAAATGAACAGCCTCATCCTCTTTTTCTTGTGCCAAGCGTGACAACTTGCTATTCGGTCTAAGATATGCACACATTACGTAGACGTACATTACGTAAAAACTGATGCTAAAACCTGATTGGCCACTTTAAGGTGATGTGTCATTTTGTATATGGTAAAAAAAAATTTTTTTTTTTTTTCCGATCTGTAAGTTGGATGTACCTCGACTTCGATCAGCCCAGAGGTTGTTTAAGAGTTTGATCTGAGGCATAGCTGTGCCCTTGATCAGCTCAGAGTTTATTTCAGGGTTTGATCTGTGTGTTAGCCGTGTCCTTACTTTGATCAGCCCAGAGGTTGTTTTAGGGTTGGATCTGTGAGTTAGCCATGCCCTGACTTAGATCAGCCCAGAGGTTGTTTCAGGGTTCGATCTGTGAGTTAGCCGTGCCCTGACTTAGATCAGCCCAGAGGTTGTTTCAGGGTTCGATCTGTGAGTTAGCCGTGCTCTTACTTAGATCAGCCCAGAGGTTGTTTCAGGGTTCGATCTGTGAGTTAGCCGTGCTCTTACTTAGATCAGCCCAGAGGCTTTTTCAGGGTTTAATTTGTGAGTTACCAGAGGTTCCTTGTTTCATTGTTTGATGAAGCGCACGATCGTAAAGCTAATCAAATATCATGACTTCTCCTAGTTAAACCATCAGTAGAGTTTATTCAGCACTCAAACAAAGCAGATGAGTCAACAGACTAAAAGCTAACAGGTCTTCAGCATGCATATTTACTGAAAACAAAGCATCCAACTATTAGCGTATCTCATTAAATAATAAAAGATCATGAAACAACACGTTAGATCTACCACAATACCACAGAACTGACAGTCTAGTGACAGAAACGAAAGGAAATTAAACTGCACGCTTCTGAGTTCATATCCACTATGCGAGTCTATACTGGTAGACTGAAAAGGCAGTTTTGCCGGCTTCGTGAACAGTTATGAGTAGTCGGTTTCGAGTCTCCTGGGTCGTGATTGAGAACACTGAGAAGGTTGACGTTGTGAATCACGAACGCTTTATCACTCTAGCAGCATTGGTTAAATTTTCCTTCATAAAACGCTGTAGTTTTCCCGCTAATTATTCATCCTAACTGCTACGCTTTGCCATGAATAAGAATCCGCTCAGAGGGTCTTTATTAGTTTTTCAGTGCAACTGAATTATATTACAATTGATAAAAACACCCTTTTAGTTTTTCGTTATCATGTGTTGTACTCATGATAAGTAAAACTCTTCATTAAGGCTAGGATATTCTGCGGCTCGTAAGTCCTTTCCTGCTCTGTGAAGTTGTTAGTTGAATTAGCTAAATTGAATGCAATAAAATATATCAAAATGATGGATTCACAAGGGCGGCGGAAGCTAAAAATCTTTGGGGGGGCACTGAAAAAATCTTTAGGGGGGGGGGGCACCGAAGATTATATTTAACGCTATGTGATAATGACAAGGTTCTGTTTGATTGCAGACGCATGCGCCGTAAAACAATGACTAAGAACCAATATTTGGAGGGGGGGTGGGGGGCAGGCTCCAAAAAAAATTTGGAGGGGGGCACAGGCTCCCCCCCCCCCCCCTCGGTTCCTCCGCCCCTGATTAAGATCTATAGATTTTCGTTTCGATCTGTTACCAAAATAAATGAACAAAAAAAAGGCAAAAAGAATGGCTGATTTGAAAGAATTGTCATACTTATTCATTAGGAGAAAAATATAAAACTAAGAAGTTTATATTTTGATAAAGGAATTGCTTTTCTAGAAGATAACAACAGATAGTGGCTGCATCACAAATGGTCTTTCTGAAGAGAAAGTTGTACTTGCGTTACTCGGGGAGATATTAAAAAAGCTAGGGTATGCTATTTTGAAAGTGACAACTGCATGGCAATAATCGAAAGAGAAAGAGACCTTTTCGTTCAGATATAGAATAATTAAGGCATCACAATGTCACATAGAAGGCCTCATGAAATATACGTCTGGAAACTATTCAATTAGGCCATAGCTATTCATCGACCGAATTTATCATGGCATATTCGACAAGTTTGGGATAACATATGTGGATCTGGCGGCATAAGGCATTTTTGTGGGTTTTTACTAGTGAGAGAGTTTTGAAAAATTGTCTTTTGTGGCTCGTGAAGAAACGTGGAATACAATAACAAGGTTTTTACGGAGAGAAAAAGCCACAAGTTTTAATATTGAGGTTAATTTTTTCAGCGAAATATGGTGTGGACAAAAAATATGTGTGCTGATGTTCTATGGCTTTGAAAATACACCTTCGTGATAATATAGCCGAGCCATAGTCACAAAGTTTTACTTCGTTTCAGCAGATTTAGTGATTTTATCAAAAGGTAAGTGCTGTTTTTTACTAGCAAATGATCATTTCTTTTTACAGCTATTTTAGTGAATACACCTACGATTTAAGACTGTTTATCCGCATCGTCATCTTTTCAAAAAAAATCCTAAACAATGAATTATCAAAACAAAGCAAAAATGATTTCGGCACAAAGTAAACATTTCACAGACGTATTGATTTTTATATAAATATCTTTAAGATTAGCGTGTTCCTTGATCGGTTCACAGTTCTAATTTACCAAGTTGAATCTACTCTTAAAGTCATGTAACAATTACTGCATGCATGATGTTG